AATCGGCTAAATATGAAAAGATATGCGAACGAAAACTTCATACATCACTTGAATCTCTTTGTATAAATATGCCAAGTGAATTTTCAACTTATTTAAAATATTGTCGTAATCTTGAATTTACTGATGAACCTAATTATCATTATTTATTAGAATTATTTGATGATCTTTTTGTACGATATGCTTTTGTACGTGATTATGTTTATGATTGGAATCTTATTCGATTTCGACGTGGTTCAACATCAACAAATAATCGAGCATCGCCTATACTTAAAAATGATGTCACAGAACGGCCAATAATTTTAACTAATAAACGATCAAAATCTCTTACACCTGTTGTTGCTACTACTACTACTCGACATTTAAATCAACCTCAATAGTTCGTTGGAGACAAAACTTTTTGTTCTTAAATTGATACACAATTTAAAACCTAAACCATGTTAAAAGTAAACTTCGGATATCTTCTTAATGATTGAATATAGGATATTTTGTTGAGCTTGTTGTTTTTTTTGCTTTGAATAAGAAATTCTAAAAGCAAACACATCTTTTACAAACTCGTCGAACTAATGATGCATGGTAATCATATATTAAAAATGTCATAAAAATCGGCAAACGTATTTTGTAATATTTTTTTAATGAATGAGACGACAGCGGATGTTGTATATAAAGATACAAGAGACTGATTGAAGTGCGTGGCACCAGTTGTGCATATTCTTGCTCGTTCTTTCATTGTCGATTAAGCAACATTACTCATCTGTTCTTGTGACACTTACTCATTTATTGTATGTAATTGTCATTGCTGTCACCACAATTCATCATTCAATTTCTTGTTTGAATGATTCAAAATGGAAGAACAAGTACGAGAACATACAAGTTAATTGTTAATAGACACGCACAATTAAAAACGAATGATCAGCTGTCGACCATTATCGAGAAGGATCATTTCTCTTATTTTCTCTTCTCCCTACAAAAAAAAAAAAAAAAGAGAAAATGATCTTTCTTCCTTTTTTGTTTTTCTCGTATAGACACTATAAATTTTTGATGCAAATATTAGACTTACATACATGAGAGATCTATGAGTATATTTCATTTCGAATTAATTGAATGAAAAATGAGAGAAATAAGTAGAGTTTTATTCAAGAAATTAAATAATAAGGTTAGTAATAATATTATACATTCACCAGTCACCTATTCGACAACGAGCTTTTGTTGCCAAGACAAAATTCAGAAGCTCGTCACCAATGGGTCTCACGTGAATGATAATCATACAATTTCTTTTCAACAAACGAAGAAAATGGTTGATCTATAAAATATTGACTGACAAAAACAATTTGCATATCATCGTGAATTTAATATGTACATCTACACGTTAAATCATCAGAAAAATAACGTATCATTTTGAGTTCAAAAATACGACAGCTGTCTTTATTGACTAATGCAGATGGTGAGTGTTTGAATAGCATCCGAAATAGAAATGAAGCAATTAAAAACTAATTATTGTATAATATCTTTTTATAGATAGAAAAGTGTTGAATATTTACATCTCAATTAGAGATAATATCCTTTGAAATTTGTTCGTATAAATAAAAACTATAAGATTTTGACAATATGTATATATTTTTTTTTGGGATATATTGAATATAATTACAATCAATAGAAAACAAAATTCTGTTTATAACTATTGACATTTTTGAAGTGTAGACAATACTTTATAGAAACCATACGACAATGTATTTTATTAAAAGAATAAAATTTGAAACCATTTCTATACTCTCATTTAACGCTAAAACATACAAAATGATGACAATAAAATTGATGGCATTGTAAATTTTTTTTTTTTCTTCTTTTACTACCACTTCTCGTTTTTCTTTTTCTTTTTTTTTTTCTTCTTTTACTGTTTATTGTTACAAAGAAAACAAATTCAAATAGTAACCAACATTTATTAAATAGTTCTATTTGATTGTTAAAAGTGACCAGAAAATGAAATTGGAGAACGTGGACGTTACTAAATTACAACTTGCTGATTTACCAAAATTCAATAAATGTCCATGTGAATTATGTGACGATGGTTGTTTTGATAGAGCTGGTAATGAACATCATCCTGAATGTCAACGACGAGCACCACAACGATCAAAATTACCTCTTGCAGCTCGTTGTCCACTTTCACATTATAAAGGTTCATTTTTAGCTGCTACATTAGCATCCGGTGGAACAGCTCCTCATCGTCGACATCCATGTCCTCCTGCACCTAATAATGAAATACCAACATCATTCAAAAATGTACCTATGTCTGGTCTTAGTTCACAAAGAGATCATTATCAACCACCACCATCAAATATTACAAAAGAAAAAATGGTTGTACCTATTAAACAAGTATTGTTTTTTTCTTCTTACGAAACGAAAATTTAATAGAATATCATTGTTTTATCTTAGCCGGATCATTTATTAATATCACATGCTGTTCCAATGGAAACTAAAACTCAATATCAAGTTGAATATATTGAAAAACCTGTTATTCCTGTATCACGTCGTCCAATACATGATTCAGTTAAAGAATCTCAGTAGAATTATTCTTATTTCAATGAATTTATTATTATTATTATTATTATTTCTCTTAGATTAAATATAACTGAACCAACGGCATCGATTGCATCACAAACAACAACTCGTGCTCATTTTAAATCATGGCAATCACCACCATCACAACCATATACTGAAATGCCAAGTGTAGCTGGTAAGAATATATATATTAATTGTAAATAAAAATCATTTATTTCCTTTTTTTTTTTTTTTTTTTTTTTAGGTCATGTTCTTTTTCCTGGTACAAATCGTAATTTTAATACAACAACTGGAAGTACTTTTTTATCATATCCAAATGCATCACAAACAAAACCAATTGTTCGACTTGAACATAGTGGAAATCTTAAAATATCTGGCAAATAAATTTTTTTGTTTGTTTTTCTTAGTAAAATAATATTTAATATTTAAAAATAAAATAGGTTCAATGGATTTAGTTACAAATTATCGACACGATTATATTACTCCTGATGTATCATCAATAAAAAATAATCAACATATAACAAGAGATATTATACAAGAAGAAAAAGTTTATACACGTCGTCCAATGAATGGAATTTCACAAACAAGTTTTGATTTTCGTCCTTATACAAAACATCGACCACCACCACCAGCTGATACCGAACCATTTCTATCTCAAATTACGATAGGAAATTCATTTACACCTATAGAAAAGTTAATCTTCATTTTAATTAAAGAACAAAAAAAAAACGTACTATTTTCATTTCCTCTAGAGCAAGTCAATATCGAACTGATTATCCAGGTCATAATACAACTCAACATCCTCGACAACCAGCTGTAGTTCCTAAAGATCATCAACAAGCATATGTAGCTCCAATGCAAAAGATGGATACTTTAACAGTGACACAAGTAATTCTTATTGAAATAATTTAAAAAGAAAATAATATCTATTCGTTTCGATAGAGAGATTTTCAACCTATTGATATGAATACTTTACCACGTATTCGACTTGTACCATTAAAATCATCATTATCTATAAATGATCAAACAGGTCCAATGGAAAGTATGACTATGACTCGATATCATTATCAACCTTATGAATCTACAATGTCGAAACGACGATACGGTGAATTAATGCCTAATGTTTATGTTTCACCAATTGATAAATTTCAAGGAATAACAACAACTAGTGAATCATATCAAGGAAGATCAGGTAAATATGATATAATTGATTAAATGAAATAATATCGAATTATTTTTTATATAGGTCCACCAGCACGTCCTTGTATTCCTGAACCAGAAAAAATAAAACAAGGTGGTCAACATGATCATAATACAAATTATCGACTTGATTATCATCCACATGGTCTTAGTTTATGTGCTGCTAAAGCTTATACAATTGCTCAAAATAAAGAAGCAACTCAAACGCCTATATCTACTCAATGAAATAAATTTATTTCAAATCTTAACAATAAAAATTATATTATAACTTTTGAGAATATTTTGTTTTATCAAGTGAATAGAAAACAACAAAAAAAAAAAAAAAAAAAGAAAGACGACTGAAAGAGTTGTTATTTATTTTCTTATATAAAATTAACATCTTTCGTTTTTTTTCTTTTTTTCAAATTACATTTATTTTAATTATAAAATCTTCAGCTTATTTTTCAGGTCTTCATTATGAATAATTTTCTTGTTTACAATCAACAATTTCAATTCATTTTCATCAGAGTTAAAAGCAAAAACTATTATTGATGCTATCAAATACTTGACAATTCTTTTCTTTTACTATTAATTAAAATAATATATTAAAATAACGAGTAATTTTTTTCTATAAGATTACTAAGAAGAAATATTTTACACGAAAGTTCATTTCAATCAAGTTTGCTTTTTTTTTGTTTGACGTAAATATTACTTTATTATAACTCAGCTAAAATTTTCTGGCCTTGTAGTCGTCCTATATTTTTGGAATCAGTCCTATAATGTCCTATTTTTTTCTAAAATTTCCTATATTTTTCGAAAAAAGGAAGGTTTCTCTTTGAAAAGTCGTATACTGCTGAAAATCTTGATGTTAGCCTACTTTCAAGAGTTTAATTAAGGCCCCCCCCCCACTCAAAAATCGATCTCNTCGTGCTTAATAAGGTGAGAAATATCAATATAGCGTTAGTTTTTCATTTTAAGTCCGAGAAAAACCGTCAGAAAAGTCAAGAGAAATTTTCTGTCGCATTCTGCTGACCTTTTTCTAGTGCATCTGTAAAAAAAATCAAATTTGATATTTTATCTATGGCGAGATACAATACAAATAGAGAATTCTGCAAAAGCTTTGGGACATCAGAAATCTACTTCACGTAGATCTTCACTTTTAATTACTCAGAAAAATGATTACAAAAGGCTAACAAGTATCCGTACATGGGGTTTGTGTAGAGTTTTTGTCAGCGTATCTTTTTAAAAAAATTTTAGCTTTTATCATTTTTCCTCATCGAGATACATCGAAAATAAAAAATTCTTCTAAAAATTTTTTTAGTCATATTCATTACGATGACCCGCCGCACTATCATAGACATCTTTCATTTTAAGTATGGAAAGGACTATTAGTATAAGTTAACCAAGATTTGTTCCTACCATTCTTGTACAGCTTCCAAGGCGCATCTTTTTAAAAAATTCAAGATTATGTTCTCTACTTACGCCGAGATAATGCGAAATAAAAAAATGTCGTGAAACTTCTGGTGTAGCAGCTATATGATACTTGACAATAAGTTTAATTTAACAACCTTTATTTTTCTTCAGAAAAAAGTATATTGTTGTATTATTTTTACTTAACTTATAAGATAAGATGTTTGAGAAAGTCTGCACCTCTCGATTTTATCACTGCATTAATTAATTTTCCAATAAGTTTCTACTAAAAAGAGTTGAAACTAATTCAAAATTGATGTTCTATATAGGAATAGGTAATCCTATATAAATCAAGCTTTCAAGTCCTATATAATCCTATATTTTTACAAAGTATCGCTATGAGGCCAGGCTAAAATACATAAAATTCTCAGAATTCCCCAAATCGTTATTTTTGTAAGATTTGAAAAAAAGGAATAAATAATTCACAGTGAAAACTAGGATTATACTCCGCCAATATTCTTGATCTTCTTTTATTAAAAATTATGATGAAAACAGACATATTCTCAACATCACAACAGTACACAGATACATTCTAATAATCCTAGACACTTATATGTTTGTTCTATTGCAACTATAAATAAGTGATATCGATCTAATTATTGTTTGGTAATGATAAATATAGTTGAAGAGTTGGTAAACCAACGGAGAGAGTAAATAAAAATCTTGATAATAAATGTATCCATGCTCCAAGACCAAATGCATGCACCAAAACTCTATTTAATAAGCAAAAACAAATATTCAAATTTTCATAGAATAATTAAAATTTTTACTCTAAAATTAATGGTCGATAACAACATAGAAGAAGTAAAACATTAATTAATGGAATATATGATTTATTTAAATCATTACGAGTACGAAGCCAAATAAGCATAGCAACTGATAAATGATGAATCTAGAATAATGAAATGATTAATTTCTTTTTTTTTTTTTTTCTTTCTTTTCAATTTTTCTTACTAAAGCAATATTTGAATCAAGACTCATTTGAATATATTTCCAATCAAATTCAATACCACGAGCTCCTACCCATAATGGTAAAAATCTATGAAATAAAATCATGAATAAATTCTTAGAAAAAAACAAAAAATAGAAATTCAAAAAAAAGAAAACAACAAACTTTGTTACAACAAGTTCAGCTGAAGCCCAACCAAGTGCGGCAACTAAATATTTTAAATCAGTTTTACCACAAATACGTGTTATTACGAAATGTAAACCAACTAGATCTAATATATCAACTGTATTTTTTAAGAATTCCTATAATTAATTTATGAAATATATTCAAAGAAACTAAAACTTCTAAATCAATCTTACAGTTTTAACAACAAATGATGATGATTCATCGACCGGTGGAAAACATGTAGCTATAGTAAGCATTTTTATAAATTGAACAAATAAATAAAAAGCAGCCGATTGAACACATTTCCAAAATGCATTATATTCAGCTCTGAAAAAAATAAATAAGAATAATCATTTTTATCTTTCCATTTAAGTTATAGATTTCGAGACAGTCAATGTTTTTAAAAGTCCTTTTTTGTGTACTCAAAAAGTGAGTACACTCTAGAATCGGTCAGTGTGTCCGGCCGTTTACACGATAACTTTTGAAAGGGGAGTTCGATTGCGATGAAATTTTCTACACAGTTCAGTCTTAATAATATCTCGATCGAGTTCGACAGATGAGCATGATTGGCCGAGCCGTTCTTGAGTTATTGCAAAAATACTCATTTTTCCTATGCGAAAATCGACCATCCCCGCTTTCGTAAAAAATTTTTTCCTATCATACTCAAACAAAACCCCAACTATTATATACCATTCGATAGAGAATTTTACGAGCTACAAAATCGTATATAAAACATGAAGAAGCAAGAAGGCTAAGTCACCTATTGCAGAGATACTTAAACGAAAATTGCTTTGTACTTTTCTAAGTTAAGGAAAGATTTTCTTAAGAAAATAATGATTTTCTATAAAGATTGGCGAAAGTCAATCGTGGTCGGGGAATCTGAATCTGAAGTCAGATTTTAAAAATTTTGAAAGTAGTTTTTTGAGTTAAGGAAAGCGTTTTTGTGTACTCAAAAAGTGAGTGCACTATAGGATCGGTCAGTATGTCCGTGCTGCCGACCGGCCGACCGTTTATACGGTAACTGTTCAAAGCGTCGTCCGATTGTGATGAAATTTTGCAGATAGAATCGTCTCATCGATATCTCGGTCGAGTTCGAAGATGAGAATGATTCGTCAAGAAATTGCTGAGTTATCGCAAAAAAACGTTTTCTCTCATAATAAAACAAAAGCTCAGCTATTATTTACCATTCGATAGAGAATTTCATGGGCTACAAAATGATATATAAAACATTAAGGAACAGGAAGGCTAAGTCACCTATTGCAAAGATACTTAAACAGAAATTGCTTTTTACTTTTTGAAGTACACATAACACTCGGATTTAAATCCGAGGTTTCCACATTTATTTTTTGTATAAAAAAACATTGATAACGAACCATACTAATTGCACAATTCTACAGTTTGTTTTTTACTACGAAATCTTCGTAACCAAACTTTACAGAGTAGTAACTAATGGTAACAGACTATTTACAACTCACACCTATAGGCAAAAGAATCATTGAAATCGAAAGAGCGGTCACTAAAGAAATTCTCTCGTTAGTCGGTTTTCAAAATCCCTTTTTTTTCTGACATTTAGCAGTTACTGCCAACGCTTGTTTGAATACTATAATAGAGTATTTTAAAAGTTTCAGTCGAAAAATCAATATTATGAAATTCTTTGGCATATTCTCATTATCTAATATGCAACAGTTTTATTAACTGAATATTATTCTATCATAAAAATAATTTATACTTACAAGCCAGAATATTTATATGTTAATAAAACAGGACCACAGGCTAAAGCCAAACAATTTCCAAAATGAAATAAAGGCATCTGAAAAAAAAAAAATAATATAAGCGCGTTAATAAAAATACTAATTGTTTCGTTCGAGTAAAAACTTTGTTCACTGTTTCTTTTTTACTTATTTTTCAATTCATAGTCTTCAATCACAAAACAAAACAGAAGGTTAAAGAAACGAAATTTCTTTTTTCTTCTCATGATCGATATTATTGTTGCTTATCTTGCTCTTATTGTTATTATATTATTATTCATTATTGTTTTTTTAACTTTTTATATTATTTATGAACATCGAAAAAAAACTATGATTTCATTAAATAAAGATAACATCGTTGTACCATTACTTACTTTAAAAACTAATGAACAATCTAATAGTAATCAATCAAATTCAGCAATATTCTCAACAACATATAATAAACGAACAATGAAACGAATTCGATATCGAGTAAAACTAAATTTCCTTTTTTTTTTTTAAGTTTTTTATTTTATATTTCTAGTCACCGACATTATTTATTCGTAGACAAAATTCACAAGGTTTTCTTCTATCAAATGGTAATCTATCATCTCTGTCTATTCATAATAAAAAATTAACTCAACAGAATACAAATTCTACAATCGATCAAACAACTATTCATTTTGATAGTTAGAAAAACAAATAAAAATATATAATTGTTTTATTTTTTTATTCTACAAAAGAAAACAAATCTTTAGGGATGATATTCTATTTAAAAAATGGGGACGCAGCAAAAAAAAAACCGAAGGAAAAAAAAAATGTTTTCTTCTTCTTCTAATTCTTTTAACGTAATGGTCTCCATGATTGAAAAATATCTCGATATTTTCGACGTTTTTCAAATACTTCAGGAAAATCTTCTGGATGTCGTCGAACATAATCCCATATACTTAATTCTTTTTCTAACATACGTTGTTCACGAAATTTTCTCCACCATGAACCAAAAAAATAACCACCAACAATAGCTGCAGCATAAACAGGTCTTGCCGAAAAAAATGGTCGACGTAAATACATATTACGCATTAATACCACTATTGAAAAACTCAATGGAAAAAAAACACGTGCATCATATGGAGCCATATAATAGGGTAAACCCCAAACACGATAACGTGGATCATTATTATAATCACGATTAAGATCACCATTGGCTGGTTTTATACCCATATCGAAAAGAATAACCTAAACAAAATAAGCAATGATGAAGATTGAATATAAATATCTAAACTCACAGATCAGAGATCATTGTATGAGGAACTCAGATTTTTTAGCTCATTTTTAATTGAATTAACATCTCGTTCTAATATATAAAATACTAAGGACAGTTCAAAGATAGTGATTAGTGACACTTAAATATTTTTTATTTTTTGACGATCTCTGATTTATCATTCATATGATACCTTTCTTGCTTTTGGTGAAAAAAGTGCTAAATGATCTTCTCGTATTTGTAATTGTCCATCTTTTTTTTCATCAAAATATCGATTATATTCAGGATTTAATGATTTATTTGGTAATAATTTATCTCGTTGTTCTTTTGGTAATGGATGTGTATCTAATTCATCACCTGTTTCACCACCTAAAATAGGATATGTACGCCATGGTTGTTGTCGAGCAAATGAACGATTATTAAATTCAAATGCTGATGATTTATCATATTCTTGATCAAATGAACGACGAGCAAGACCAACATGATGTTCATCATGTTTATCACCCCATTTACCAATTCCAGTCGACATATAATTTTTTTTTTTTCTAAATTTTATCTAGAATAATAAACAAACAATACAAAGAAAATATATCACATATAATCATCAAGTATAAGTGAAGATGATGATGGTTCATCTTCTTTTAATGATGAATCATTAACAATATTCATTTTATATTGAATAAGACGAGACTCAAATGATGGATATAATCTTTGACATTCATAAATTAATTCATTTATTAAAGTTAATTTATATTCATGTGATGAATTAAATGTATCTAATAGAGTTAAAATTTCTAGAAAGTAAAACAAAAAATCAAATTTTAGAAAAAAATGAAAGAAAATTTTTACCTTGATCAGCTTGACGACGAAATAATAATTTAATTTTTTTTTTAATTTCACGATATTTTTTTATTAAACGACGATGATCATCATCTAATACAGAATAAATATCAAATGAAAAACGATTCATTGAATTCTTTGTTATTATAGATTCAGTATCGGATTCTAAAAAAGAAAAATTTTATAGAAGAAAAGAAAAGAAATGATTTTAATCAAACCATCATCGGTACTCGTTGTTGATGTTGCAGGACTCGGAGGACCACTACTACCACTAATAGATAAATGTCGACGATAAACATAATTTTTCAGAACTAAAGCTATAAAGAAAACAAAACAAAATAAATGCGAAAACCTCGGATTTAAATCCGAGTGTTATGTGTACTTCAAAAAAGTGAAAAGGTATATTCACTGTGTTTTTTATCACTAAATTGCAAGGAGAAAATACAGACGTGCTAAGTTAGCAAGGACCATACTGTATGCGACCCTATCCGGTGACCACTGACTCTACTCTCAGAGTGACAGAATATCTTTAGAAATTAGAGGAATTCAGTTCAGATTCGTGTTTAGCTTGGAAAACTGGGTAAGAACAGTTATTTTTGAATGGATTTGCGTTTGTATCTACCAGGATTACAATCGTAAGCAATCTCATCAATCTATAAGAGATATATAATAGATACAGGCATCACTATTTTCCTAATAGATCACCAATATTAATAGCTATCGAATTAGGGTTTTTACCATTCGATAGTCCTCTTGCTAGCTACAAAATCAGGCATTTGGGTAACCCCAAAACTACTGGTCATCTGAGACACATCTAGGCAATTTGGTTTCTGGATGCAGTTTTTCTACATTTTGAGACCTTTTTCAGGCGATGTTCTGTTAGAAAGCTACAATTTGGTTCAAAACAAATATCAGATTCGGAATCACCGTCAAAAACTCAGTCGATATATATATGTTGTGAAGAATTTTGAGAAAAATATTTTTTTAAAAAAAAATCCCTGTACCCCCCCTCAGGGATGGTCTTCTCAATAATGACGATTTTTTCGATAACTCAGCCATTTCGTGACGGATCCTTCTCATCTTCGAACTCGACCGAGATATTG